GGCGACCCCAGATTAATAAAGGGACTAAACCGGCAAGAAAATGAATGAATGACCACCCTGTAGATTTTAGTAAACAGCAGTGCAGCTGCTTTGTTTACAGCAGTATCCACGGTTACTCCTGCTGTTTTAGAAGCGCCACCTACTGGCAGAGGGTGAATCTGCTTGCTCATTATTTGCGCACACGTTCCACACTCTTATTTCAATCATTCATTCATTTTCTTGTCGGTTTAGTCCCTTTATTAATCCGAGGTCACCAGAGGAATGAACCGCCAACTTATCCAGCAAGTTTTTACGCAGCGGATGCCCTTCCAGCCGCAACCCATCTCTGGGAAACATCCACACACACACACACACTACGAACAATTTAGCCTACCCAGTTCACCTGTACCGCATGTGTTTGGACTGTGGGGGAAACCGGAGCACCCGGAGGAAACCCACGCGAAGGCAGGGAGAACATGCAAACTCCACACAGAAACGCCAACTGAGCCGTGGTTCGACCTAGTGACCTTGCTGTGAGGCGACAGCACTACCTACTGCGCCACTGCCTCGCCCACACTCTTATTTCATTTCTTACTATTTTTTTTCCTTCAGAAATTGGGAAATCTGAATGGATTTGCCTTGTAAAAACATAAAGATCAAGGAAAACAAATGTTATCAAACTAAACCAAACTGATGCATTATTACACAGTGAGACATCCGGCAACCCGAGTCAACAGAGTCGCCTTGGCATTGCAGTTTCCAGCGGGAGCAATCAAAGGGGCTCAATGTGACGACTGCGACATGCAGCAAAAACACACATGCATTACCCCCAAAAACATTACGCTTGCTCAAACTACTCAGCTAAAATGAGCTGAAACCACACAACTCTTGGGGTTGTTTTATGTTAATCTACTTAAATTTGCCAATATTAATCTGTTTTGAAGTGAAGAATTAAAACGAGCATCTTTTAATAATGATGACTCTGCTCAGTCATCTGAATACACGTTGCTCTTGAATTGCTCTGTGTGTAACTCTGCTGATTCTCCAGGTGTGCGCTGGCTGATCTCCTCTGGACATTATAGGTCAGCTGTAGACAATGATGAGTCAGGCAGACCCAGAGCAAATGTACAAATGCTTTATTTCCCATAGATGTGTGTGTGTGTGTGTGTGTTAGCCGTAGCTCAGTCGCCGATTACCCATGATCCTCAGGGGCAGGGGGTTAGCGCCGCCATCAGCAGCTCCATCTTGTAGACAAAGTTTTTCCCCTCCATGCGGTCCCAGTGCACTTCTCTGTGCGCGCCCCGCAGCTGAGTCCACTTACCGTCCTGCACCGCGTCACTGCGGCCCGCATCCTTAGCCTGACTGCGCGGGAACTGGACCAGCACCTTACAGCCGCTCTCCGGCCCGTTACGCACTGCACACACACACACACAGAGAGAGAGACAAGGAAAACAAGGTATCATTACATCTATGTAGTCTAAAGTCTGATGGTTCAGAAAATATAATAACTAGGGATGTCCAGATATGATCACACAGTTTCAGACTCAATTGGAATTATCAGGACTTA